TCTTATTATTGAATTATTTATTACATCACTTGATAATGAAGTAACTTCCTGCAATAAAAATAATTTGTTGTTATATATCACAAATATTTAGTTAATTAAAAAAAATTAAAAAAAAAATCTTAATACTCTTGAGTAATACCTCATCTTTTTTTTTTAAATTATTAGTTTTCCTTTTTTTTTATATAAAATTACGTACAAATGATGTAATATTTCAGGAAATTCTTTAATTATTAAAAAAAAAATGAAAAAAAAAAAAAAAATGAAATAAAAGTCAATTAAAAACTTCAAAAAGTCAAAGAGATTGCGGATGCAACAATCACAACAACACTTAGGATATAATGAAATCATGATAGTCTCAAAGTATTTTGAAGGGATTAATGATTTTATTAATTTAGAAATGGGAGTTAAAAGATTCCAAGGAAATATGGAACGATTCCATTTTAATCCAATTCCATTGAATCAATATTCAAGAAAATTGTTTCCTAATATTGAAACATTTCATATTTATAATAAGAATGATACCAAATTTCAAGATGGAAAGATATTTAAACAAGTAATATGGTATGAAGTAAATTACCAAGATTATTTAAAAGAAAAAGCTTCAGGAAATGATTATAAAAATGTTTTCATTAATAAAGATGAGAAAGGAGTTGATTTAAATAATGTTCCAGAACCAATTAATGGAATAGGAGATAATTTTTACGCTTCCTCTAATATGACTGAACTTCAACTCTCTCCAAAAATTAAAAGAATTGGAAAGAATTGTTTTTCACATTGTGATCAATTAACAAAAGTTACTGTTCCAACATCAATTTCAGTATTAAGTGATTCATGTTTTTATCATTGTGGACATATTACAGAAATTATACTTTCAGATGCTATTCAAAAACTTGAAGACTTTTGTTTTGCTGAATGTTATTCTTTAAAAAGTATTACTCTCCCATTATCTATTATTAAAGTTGGAAGTCGTTGTTTTGAACGATGTAGTTCATTAACTAATTTAAATATTCCAGGATATCATTTTACAATTGGAAATAGAATTTACTTTAATAATGCTCCTCTTATTACTATGGTTATTCCTTCTTCTGTTAAAACAATTAATGAACTTCCTATTAACAAAATTCCTGAAGGTCAAAAGATTGTTATTCCTAAGTCTGTTTTTTCTGTTAGTAAAATGGCTTTTGTTGACGTTGATTCTAAACTTATTTCTTCAGACAATACTATTCCTTATATTAGAAAAACCATTATGGATACCATTTACCAAGATGCTAAAGAAAGGGATGGTACATATGACAAATTTAGTCGTATTTTTTAAACCCTTAAAGATTTATCAATTTAATTGATTCTTCTTTTTTCTCTTATTTTCTTTCATTTACTTTAATTTTATTTTATAAATGAAAAAAAAGAAAAAATTTATTTTATTTTATCCTGTCATTATTTTAATACTCATCGTTACTTTTTTCTTTCTTTGATTTTATTAAAAAAAAAATATAAAAAATATAAAAAAATATAAAAAAAAATATAAAAATATAAAAATAAAAAAGAAAGAAAAATTAAATGAATAGTTTAAAAAAGGTACCAATTTGAATGTTTGAATTGAATTAATTGAAAGAAATTAACTTTTTTTTTTCAAAAAAGATACTTTTCATTCAAAATGGAAAGAAAACTGAGAAACGTTTGGTTTAATAGATGTGAATCATAATAAGAAAAAATCTACTAACAGTAAACAGAGAAGAAGTAATAAACAAGTCCCAAAATTGGCTTCTTTAATCTAATAACCAGATTGAATCATATTTAGATCCATGGAAGATAGTAATATCATAAAGATTCAAGCATTAATTAAAGGATTTTATATTCGTAAGAAGTATAATTTAAAAGAACTTTATACTCAAAAAGAGATTGTTAAAGAAGCAGTTGAAACAGAAGAATCATTATTAAAAAAAATGAAAACTATGAAAGATATATATCAACCCCCTTTAAAACAAGTTAATATTGATGAAACATTATATAAAGTCCATTTAATATTTGAATATCTTGATGCATGTATTGAATCAAGTCAACAAATTGTAAAATATGGAAAACAATTTATTGAAAATTATAAAATAGATACACAACCATCACAATTTTTTTCATTTGTTACATTTCATTTATGGGCATATGGAGAATATACTATTAATTATAATATTACTAAAACAATGTTAAATGAATTAACAAAAAATATTATTTATCAACGGTTATTAAGTATTATTGATTCTAAACAACCACATGGATGGGTAATAAGTGATCTTATTATTGAACCAATGCAAAGAACTCCAAGATATCCATTATTATTAAATACATTAATAAAAGTAACTAATGAAAATAGTAATGATTATCAATCATTATTAACTGTTAAAAAAGATTATGATTATTTTACTGCTTTAGTTAATGAAAAAACAACAATGAGAGATAATTTAAGAATTCTTGCTGAAGATATGGATTTTCCTCAAATTATTATACCAAGAAGATATTATATTGGTGGTGATGTTATGACTTATAATAAAAAAAAATGTGAAGGTCATTTATTTAATGATAGAATTATTTGGTTTGCTGTATCAAAAGGTTCAAAAATTGGTAAACAAAATGAATATCATATTGAAGGTGAGTTTATTTTTGATAGTAAAACTCGAGTTGTACTTTCTAGAAATATCGTTTCTTTAAATAAATATGGTTTAATGCCAATTCAAATGTCTTTAAGTTCTAAAAAAATAGCTGAAAAATGGAAAGAAACTATTAGTAATTTATTATTTCTGGAATAT